TCTCATGGCTTTGCCTCCTACATGCTGGCAAACCTTTCTGGGTTGCCAGCTGCCTGTCAGACACCATCTGTCAATAACGTAGTCCTCAAATTCTACATGTCAAAACATGCCATTTCCTCACTATAAACCTATACCTGCTCCTTCCCCGAATTCCAGGGGGTGACCCCACTATTTACCCTATGGTAACCCAACGCGAGAATTGTACAAATCAACCTTGATCCTTTCTCTCCCCTAAACAGTACAGATTAATGTTTAAGCACACTGGCTCCAAAGAAAACAATTCCATTCACAGAGCAAGAAAAATAAAATACTCAGAAATAATTTCAAGAAAAAATGTCCAAGATATATACTAAAACTACAAAACATTGCTGAGAGAAATTAAAGAAAATAAAAATACATGGAAAGATATTCTATATTTTATGGATTAGAAGACTCATATTTTTAAGATGACAATTCTTCCAAAATTGATCTGTAGATTTAAAACAATACCTATCAAAATCCCAGCATTTTCCCCCAGAAACTGAGAAGGAGGTTCTAAAATTTACATAAAAATGCAAAGGACCCTATAGCCAAAACAATTTGGGGGGAAAAAAAAGTTGGAGGCTATGTACTTTAGGGGAAAGTGGTCTTTTAACAGAATGCTGAGACCACTGGATATCCACATGAATTTAGACCCTTACCTCACACCATACGCAAAAATTAATCTCATAGACTGAAATGTACGAGCTAACAGTATAAAAGTTCCAGAATAAAACAGGAAAAAAATCCTTTGTGACCTTGGGTTAGGAGAGAGACAATACTAAAAGCGTGATCCGTAAAGAAAAAAATTGAAAAATTTGACTTCATTAAAATTAATAACATTTGTTCCTTAAAAGGCACCATTAAGAAATTGAAAATACAAGTCACAGACTAGCAGAAAATAGTTGCCAATCATTTCTTACAAAGGACTTGTATCCAGAATACAGTAAAAACTCTTACTATGACATAAGAAAACAACACAATTTTAAGTGAGCAAAAGATTTGAACAGACATTTCACCAAAGAAGATATACAAATGGCCCATAAGCACATGCAAGTATGGTTGAGATCATTAGCTATTAGAAAAATACAAATTAAAGCCACAATAATATATCATTTCACACTCACTGGAATGGCTATAATAAAAAAAATACAAACAATAAGTATTTATGTTACTGGTGGGAATGTAAATGGTGCATTTTGGAAAAGTCTGGTGGTTTTTCAAAAAGTTAAACATAAACTTACCATAAAAGCTGGCGGTAGCACTCCTAGATATATGCCCATGGAAGTGAAAACCTGTGCACACAAAAACTTGAACACAAATGGTCACAACATGCAGACAGTCCAAATGTCCATCAGCTGATGAGTGAATACGCACATTGTGATACAGCCACACAATGGAATACGATTCAGCAAAAAGCACTGATACATGCTACAACATGGACAAGCCTTACAAACATTATGTAAATGTGAAAGAAAGATGCAAAAATAAACCACACATTACCTGACTCCATGTTTATGAAATGTCCAGAAAAAGTGAACCTGAAAGATAAAGTGGATTGGTGGCTGCCTGAGGCTGGGGGCAGGAATGGAGAAGGAGTGCAAATGGGCATACAGTATCTTTTTGAGGGGATGGAAATGTTCTAAAATTGGGCACAACTCTGTAAATTTCCTAAAAAATCATTGAAGTGTACACTTAAATGGGTAAAATGTTACGGTGGTTACATTACTCCTCCTATAATCTTTATAGGTATG